TTTAAGTGTATGGTTGTGTAAGCAGACATACAGTAGTCTAACACTCTAACCACTACACCATATCACACCAGCTCTCACTTTGGGGCCAAGTAGGACCTTTTGCCCAACACACATTTTGACGGGTGGGTTGGTATTTTCACCACACTGAACCGCTGATTGGTGGGACTAGATGACCTGCTGTGTTGCTTCTATATGTAACTTGAGTCACTTCTGGCAATTGGGTGCCGGTTAGGTATGTTTCAGCCAGGTGACATGCTTTAGGATGATGGGCTGTCCCCGAGGTTTGCTCTCGAGGCTCTGAGGCAGGACAAGTGCTACTTTTGAGGCCTTCTTACTTACCTTTATGATGTGGTCTGGAAAGCAAGTCAGCCATGCCTCCATTTCCAAAGGCCGGAGTTTAGTCTAGCTAGTGGCTGCAGTTTTAGTTCTATGTTGATATCAGTTAACCCCAATTGCTTCCTTCTACAGGGTTTCATCCTAAACAAAGAGGTCCTAGCTCAACGTAGTCTGTGTATCTCTCAGTTTTTGGCCATCTGGTGTCAAATGCCTGGGTAAACAGGAATGTTTTCCAGTTCCTCCCAAAAGTTAATAATGAAGGAGACAGGCGCACCTCACCAGGGAAGGCATTCTGCAACATCCATTCTGTAATCCCACCACATCTGGCAGGCCTTCTGTTGTCTATTGCTGTGCTCATCACCCGTACCCTGTGTCAGAGCTTGAAGGTTTTATTTTTATCAGTCGTGATTGACCAATTGATAGACTCGCCCTTTTGTCTTGTCTTTTCTTTTTTTTCCAAGAGGATACGCTAATGGCCCATCTTCTCATCTTCTGGTAATGAATTAAGTTAATTATTCATTATGATTCATAATGAACAAGACGATGCTTTAGCTTCTGGGCCAGCCGGTCTGCCTTGCAGGATTGCGAGGTTCATCTTTCACCCGTACGAGAGGCCACGGTTTCCACTTTTAAAGCCTAACAGACTATTACCATAATCAAATGAGACACAATCCATTGCAATTACCATCTCTTCTGCTAGCTTCCTCTCCCTCATTAATTTGTTTTAAAAAATCCAACCTCCCCTACAAGTTTCTGCTTGCGGAGTCTGCCGTGTTGGGTCAGATTCAGCTACCTGCACATTCAAGGGATACAGAGCTCCATCCTTATTTTCCATAGAGGAGGCCACTTCAGGTTCTTGACAGCTGCTAATGGGCTACACAAATAGGAAAGGCTTGCCACTGCAAATGGCAACAGTTAAATAGGGAGAAGCTGCCCTGAGCCTAGTAGTGATGGGGGCAAGGCAAAGGGGCAGCCTTGGGAATTCTGCCAGTCAGGCGTATAATGACAATGCCCCAGAAGAATGGCAAAGCAACAACCATAAGATGAGCTCCGGGCTGGAGGCTCATCTAGTCCAGCCTCCTGTTCTCACAGTAGTCAACCAAATGCTTTCATGAAGTCCTGAAGCATGACCTGAGTTGCAACAGCAACCCTCCCCAGCAGCCGGTGTCCAGAGTAGGGATGGGCAAATATGTCAATTTCAGTTCCTAAGATATTTCCTTACCCTCCAAGTGTCCCTATTTTCCAGGGACGTCCCTGATTTAGAGAAGCCGTCCTGGTTTCTGATTTGATCCCGGAATGTCCCAGTTTTTCTTAGGATGTCCCTATTTTTGTTGGAGACATGTTGGAGGGGATGGAGTTATCCGATCCTTGAGCCATCTGAAGGCAATCCTGTACAGCGGGGACACCCAACTCCCAAGAGACTGTGATCTACTCACAGAAAAAAAAGCTGGCAGTGATCTACCCATTTGGGAAGGGGGGGTTTGCAGGTCAAAGTTTAGGGAGGAAAGTTGAAACTGTCAGCAAAAAAAATGATGCCAATTTTGGGGAGAGCAGCAACATTAAACGATAAACAATATCTGTGTGGATAAAGGAATTAACTATTGAAGTTCTCTGCTAGCTTTCACATGAGTGTTTAAGCTTAGATCACGAGATCACATGAGTGTTTAAGCTTAGATCACGCTTAGATATTCAATTGCAAATCTCCATTTTGAAAGGGAGTTGCCTTTGTCTTTTGTTCCCAAGCACAGGGAGGGAAGGATGTAATCATGATGCCTTTCCAGGAGCAAATAGCCTTCACCAGGAAAGCTGGCTGTGAGAAAGACAGAGCTTTGATTTTTGCTCTGATCATAGTTATGTTATGTATTTAAGAAGAAGATCTTATGCTTGAATGTGCATTTGCTTTGTACAACTTTCTGGATGCATTGTTGATTGTTTTGTACCTGTTTTGAAGAAGTTCTGGTTAGTAAAGCTGGACAATTTTTATTTCCAAGAGGAATCAGTTTTTATGCATGCAATTATTTAAAACTGCGCAATATTAATATCTGCAATAGAGCCTTGCTGTGGGTCAGCATGAGGCATTTGGCTTTGTGAAACAAGAGGCAAAATGGTACCTCCTCAGTTCCACAGGCAGAAACCAACTGGGTTGGCAGTTAGAATCCTTCTTAAAAATTACTGCTCCAGAAGGATGTTGGATAGCTTGGGTGGTGCAAGGCAGGCTATGTGGCAGTCACAAGCCACATGACCTCTGCAGCCCCATCCTCCAACACCTCACCTCTACCTCCCCAATCCCCAGCATGCACCACCTAAGGCAGCTGCCTCACCCTCCCCAACAGCAGAACCAACCCTGGTGGGTAAGTAAATAAACATAGAACCAGGATGTAAGCCAGTTCATGGGATCGATATAATTAAGTGATAAAGTTCTTCCTTGGACTTTGTTGCAGACTCAGTGGTGGTGGTGTATATGGGCTTAGAAAAAGAGCACACGTATTTCTGTCAGGTTACCTGTCTCGCCTCTCTGCCACTTTGAGGAAGGAAGAGCCCCACCCCCCACTGAAGCCTGGAGTGGTAGAATCCTGGAGAAAGTTTCACTGCTGACTTTGCTAACTGTATAAACCAGCCCATCGATTCTTTGTCGCCTTTGCTGCAAAAGGGCACTTGGATTCCATAATACGATAAGCCTTTTCCCATCTTGCCACACACAGGCTTCTTAGCCAAGGATTTTGGTATTTTAAAAGGGTGGATTTCTTGAGGCATATATATATATATTTCTGAGACAAACACAACTGGAAAGGAAAACCTTAGGCTAAAAGCTTGAGGGAACAAAATGGGGTGGGTAGGAAATGCCTTGTGCATTTTGCGAGAGACTAGGGCCAACGTAGTTTTGTCTTAAGCCACTAAAGACTCCTAAAAGCCCCAACGAAGACTGTGAGCCTCAGAAAACCCTCGCAGGGCTTAGGAAAGAAAAGTCAATTTAAAGTCAGACTAAAGCCTTGCTTAAAGAGTTGGCCGGGTTTTGCTCAGGTTCAGAGAGGTGGCAAAGGAGGAAGTCCGTGGGGAGGGGTTTACTTCCTGGGAGTGTTATGAAGAAATACTTTTGTGGCTCTGTTGGGTACATGAATATTCACAACTTTGATAGCGGGGCATTCATATATTATGAACAAATATATCCATCATTGTCATCCTACAGGAGAATATTGCCTGATGAGACATGACCAAGAACAAAAATACTTCTTAAAAATTATTTAGCAGTGTTCCTCAGCCTTGAGTTCCCAGAAGTTGTTGGACTACAACTCCCATCATCCACAGCCAGCTTAGCCAGCCATCAGTGGTGATGGGATTTGTTGTCCAACAACATATGGGGACCCCGATTTGAGGAACACTGATCTACATGATGCTGAGACATGGCTGGAAGCCAATGTCTGGGGTTTGGAGTTTTTGCACTCAGGGGAATGGGGGGGGGGACCAGTAGCTGGCTCCAATTTAAAGTGCAGAATTTATACTTCAAAAGTCTTAAGTGGTTTGGGCCTGAGATGACTGGACTATCACTTTTACCCTTATTAACTAGCTTGCACTCTCAAGATCAGCAACAGAGGTCTCTCTCACATACCCACTTCCCAGAACTGTTAAGAATGCAATCAGTATTTGTTGCTGGGTTGCTGTTTTTTTAAGTCCACAGATACATGATTAACATTTTTTTTTTACATTGCTGTGATGTTTCCTTTAAATTGAGATGAATACAAGCTACATAAGTTATGTAAATAGTCACATAGCATATGCAATTTACATCTAACAGCAGGCGGCGAGACAAATAATGTGATGTTTGGCAGAAAGTGACCTGCAGTGGAATGCAAACAGTGGTGGCTGTGACAAATGCAAGTCAGAACCACCTCCTTACATCTGTCATGAAGGATAAGATCATCAATGGTTGTTTAACATGGTGGCTGTGTTCTACCTCCACTGTTTTATGCCTCTGATATACCAGTTGTCAGGATTCACAACTGGGGAGAGTGCCATGGCAGTCACATCCTGCTTGTGAGCTTTCCATCAGGGAATCTGGTTGGCTATTGGGAGAAAGCAGTGCTGGACTAGATGAGCATTTATGCCCATTCAGCAGATGGGCCCTTTCTCATATTCTTCTTTGCTTTGTGCCTGGTGAATTCGCACACTCCAAAAGTTGTTCTGGTGCTTCTCCCACATTTCGTGGAATGGTGGCAGGATAAATCATTCCCCCCCCCTCCCTGTACCGAAGTAAAACCTTATAATTTGTTGAGCCGCTTGTTTAACCAAGCTGAAATCTTCTTGATTAGGTTTGTTTCTTTTGCTCTGATAAAGCAAATGAGAGGTTCTTTAAAACAAAGTTTAATGAAATAAACCAAAGTTGAGATGAACCAATAAAATGAATTTGGGCTTCATTAGGCAATCAAGCTAAGTGAATTAAAGCAAATAAGAGACGCATTTTATTCTCTTGCTGAAATAAATGCCTGTGCTTGTGACATAGGAGTGGATTAAAATGTTCTCAACCCTAGCTAGGTCGTGATCTAACCTCCTCCACCTGTTAAGTCTTTTGTCACATACCTGCATTTTACAGCAAGATGATCCCATCTGGATCTGTTGCAGGCCTGAATCTGTTTCAGTTCTTCCTTATGTCTTTGATTTGCTGTGAGGCCCTCCAGACTGATGGGTTTGTTGGTTGGTTGGTTGGTTGGTTGGTTGGTTGGTTGGTTGGTTTCATGAGGTGTGTTGTCCTACATGTCATTGACCCATTAATAGCATGCTAGGAGCAGATTGAAAAGGACCATCCACATAATCATTCCCCTTTTTTGGTTGCAGTGTGACGCTTCCCCAACATTTCCATAAGATTGTGATCCGGAGGGAGTCTTGCTTTGTTCTATTACAAAAAAAATAAATCGGTACGTTTGTGGCATTAAAAAGCTACAAAGATTTCAGCAGGATGTTACAGGACACAGATGGAAAATAGAACTGCATGTCCATCCTAACCCTTTTTGTAGATGTAAGCAGCATCGAAAGTGGGATGAGGCATAACCGCCCCAATACCTTCATGAGCACAGATCTTCACAAGTGCCCAATAAAAAAAGGGCATCTGCAGAAGACCTCTGTCCTGCCTTCCCCTCCTTTTGAATTCCAGTTTAATTTAGTGATTTTTCTCAAATTAATTCTGGACTTGCAGGTCCAGACCTGGTGAAGCTGCAGGCAAGGTGCAGGCTGAACATCATATTAGTTGTGAGAAAACACAGGACAGCAGTACTGGGATCTAAACAGGCCACAACTTTATCGATTACAGATGTCAGCAGGTTTGGGTGTAGGCATTGGGTGTGCATCCTGAAATCAACCACCACTTCTTCATGTGAAACATCCGCACACAATATTAGAGTTTGGACACATTTTGTCCAGGTTGTGCTAGTCAGACAACATCTCATTGAGGCCAGCCGCTTCCCATGAATGAGCATATGAACAACACATGAAGAACTGGAGCCTGTAACAAAATGTTGCAGTGTGAAATGCTCCAGCCAGACAATCATGCCCCCCCTCTTTTTTCTACAACCAGCTGGATTTTTCCACACAGCCCATATTGGGATTCTAGCAGGGTGGGTGTTTTTTAACAGAGTTTGTAAAATCCGAATCATTATTGAGCTTTTTTTAATCTTTTATGTGATTTTAAATATTGTTCTATTCTCGTGTAAACCACTCTGAGCTTAAGAAAAGCAGTATGCAAGCATCTTAAATAAATCAATACATGAAATTTTAATCTCAGACTCTGGCAAAAGATTTGAGGGATATGAGAAGAATAATTCCCTTCCTTCATGCTTGAAGGAAGCAGCAAACTTGAGGGGGAACCCAACATTTTCCTTCTATTGGATGTGAAAAATCTACAAACCCTCATCTTCATGCTCCCTTCTGACAGAGCCAGCAGGTCTTCCAACTGTCAGTGCAGTTACCCTCAAAGTTTGAGCCAAGCCAAGCTGAGCACAGTTTCTGTTGAAGCCCCCAAAGATTTAATTAGTTAAAGTCTTCTCCTCTTCAGCCAAAGGAGCTTCCCAGAGCAGCTTGCAAAGATCAGTAATAACATGACCACTGTCCTCAGGCTTCCAATCTAAAAGACACAAGATCAAAGGAAAATGGTTTGGGAGGGAGGAGGAAAAAACAAACCCAAGTACTTCTTAACCAAATTAGGAAAAGCTGGATCATGTTGGATGAATGCATTTACCAATCTTTAAATACATTTCTCAAGATTCATTGGGAGTGGCTTTTATTGCTCTGCGGTTGACAGCATGGCACTTCGTTCGTGCCTAAAGGTGTTTTACAGGTGGTGGGAAAATATACCTTAGTTATTACATGATCTTGACTGACATGAGCCCTTGTCCTCCTGGAAGTGCCCTGACTTAAGCGAGGTCTGGGATAGCTCAGTCGATAATGCATGAGACTCTTAATCTCAAGATCATGGCTGGCATTGCTTTTCTTCCTGACATGGAGCCTTAGGCCTTTACATTTACAAGGTAGGGCTGAATTGGTCACCTATGAACCTGCACCATTGCAGAACCTTTGCTTCCATATTCAGGGCCTTAGCCAGGGTGGGGCAAATACTTTGCTGCCGCCACCATTGGGGCAGTGTCAGTATGCTGTCAACGGCTCCCGGCTGGTTGCCCAGGAAAGTATAAAGACAAGGGAAAGTTTCTTACAGTCCTTTTTTATTTCATCTTTGTAGAGAGAGGATACAGAACCCAGCCTTTTGGATAATGGCGTTGTCCCAAGTGAATCTCCACCCCCCCATCTCTTCCACTTCTTCATTCCACCCTTCTACAGGTGTGGCAATGTGCCCTCTGTCTTTGAGCTCTTTGCTCTCCTACTTTTTAGGCTCACCAAGTTCTGGGAGATGGAGGGTCTGGAATGCTTTCTAATGACAACATGTCAGCCAGTTGCTGCTCCAGCTCTGCCTGCTCCTCCTCTCCCATTATCTCCCAACCTTTCCCCTCATCTGCCTCTGAGCTGTGACCTCCCACAAACAACTTGTAAAACTATACTGTGGTACCTCGGGTCACATACGCTTCAGGTTACATACGCTTCAGGTTACAGACTCCGCTAACCCAGAAATAGTACCTCGGGTTAAGAACTTTGCTTCAGGATGAGAACAGAAATTGTGCTCTGGCGGCACAGCAGCAGCAGGAAGCCCCATTAGGTAAAGTGGTACCTCAGGTTAAGAACAGTTTCAGGTTAAGAATGGACCTCCAGAATGAATTAAATTCTTAACCCAAGGTACCACTGTACTGTCTTCCTCCTTCTCCTCCCTGGGAGGGTCAGGATGGGGACGTGGTCTCCACCATTCCTCCTCTGCCCGGTCCCTGACAGGCAATTATTGACCCCATCATATGGCAGCTTCCATTTAAAGCTAGGGTGGGTGCAATGACGCAACGGCCCTCTCTCTCTCACAGAAATGTAACAAACCATGAGGTTATTCAACAGTGCTGTTGCTTTTTATTAAAATGTATACGGTCTCAAGTTATAGGCTGTATGCTGTTCAGGCTCAAGGTTACTTTCTTTTACACAACTTTCATAGATCAGAGTTATCCACACACACTTCAGGAACTTAGGGTTTTAACTGGACTGTTTCCCTTACAGACTCCCAAATCCTCCTTGGCCTCGGAATCACTACTGCCTGCTCCTGTCAGAGTATTCCCTCTGAGGACCCTTTTTTCCCCTATAAACACCATGTGGGACTGTGTCTTTTCCATTTTAACAGGATTCTGCGATTCAGAACCTTAGAGCGTATACTGAGAGTTCTCAGCTCTCCTCAGCTCTACCACCTGTCAGAACGAACCATCCTGACAGAATCCCTCTCACAGACCAAATCCCTCACACACAGACTCCTCACTCCACTCCAACTGCCTCCCTTGGAATTATGGCTGATCAGGAGCAGTTGCTAGTTAACTGTTTGCTGGCGGGGGGGGGGGGCAATGACTCAGAAAACATTCTCAGAAAATGTTCTCAGAAAACAAACTTTTCCGTCACAGTGGGCACCTCAGACACAGGGGCCAAATGTGGCCCTCCAAGTCTCCAGTTGCTCTTGGGACACTTCCCAGCCCACACCCTTCATCAACCCTGCTACAGGCAACATGGTCAGTGGTCAGGATGATGGCAGTTGCCTCCAGCAATATCTGGAGGGCACTAGGGTGGACAAGGCTCAGCCAGAATATTTCTTTCTAATTGGCCAGCTGCATTGTTGACCCAAGCAGGACAAGTTCACATTCTGCATTAATCACATCTGTGCCCACAGTCAGTCCTGCCATAGAAACTTTAAAAGCTGCTTTAGTCAGGCTCACTGGTCCATCTAAATCAGTATTGTCTGCACCATTGGTGGTGCATCTCCAGCCTGTGGGCCAACTTTGGCCCACCAGGAAGTCTAAGGTGGCCCATGGGGCCTTTTCCCCCAAACCATGCCCACCTGTCCATCTGCTGACACTACTGGGTGATGAGCAGGGAGACAGAGTTCAATCCTTCTTAGGGCTGCTACACCAGCACACTTCCTGCACGGAATGTGCTGGTGAAGTGGACCCCTGCAGCCAGCAAGATTGTTTCCTCCATTCATCAGCTGGTGAGTGAAGGATCCAAGGCTCCTCACTTTGGCTGTATGCACCTGTTCCCCTGCCAAAGAGAGGTGTGGGGGTTTTTGAAAGTCCTTTTGTAAACAGCCTTGCACCACTCAGGGTTTTGGAGGTTCAGAGAGCAGCGCTGGGCTGTTTGTAAAAGGGCTTTCAAACAGCCCTTTTGCTGTGTCTTGAAGTTCCAATAGGGCTTCAAAGCTCAGTGTCACCTGATGTAACTGCCCACCTATCAAATTTGGCCCTCCAGGGCTGAGCTGTCACTCAGGACAGAAAAGGTTCCCCCTGCCCATCCCTTGTCTACACTGACAAGCACTGGCTCGCCAGAGTTTCAGGGGTGGGAACATTCCCAGCCCTACGTGGAGATGCTCTTGGGGACTGAACCTGCAGCCCTCTGGATGCAAGGCAGGTGCTCTACCACTGAGCTGTGCTCCTTTGCCAAAATACTCTGGTATTTAGATCCTTTGTTTTAAGATGTGACCATTCCCCCATCATTTCCATGCCCCCACCCTCCCCCGCACAAATCCTGAATTGTGTTGTATGATTCATCCACGGAGCAACTTGAACCAGAGGAATTAGGTCCAACTCTGTTTAGTGATGGCACTGGAATACTAAAGTCAGCAAGGGAGTGTTTGCCTGGAGAGATTGGGAGTGGGGCGGGGGCAGGGAGAGAGTGTTCAGTTTATGTTTGTCAGAGTCACAGAGAAAAATCTAATTAAAGATGGCGTCCGAGCTTGGCAAGAACTGTAGATGGTGCCAGAATATAAAACACAGCTCCTACCCACAGATCAGAAGGCAATATTAATAAACCCATGGAGAGGGGATGGCAGGATCAGCCGGTAATATTGATAAAATGCAAAGCAAAGACAAAGCGTCCAGGGAATATTGGATGGCAGGACTGATAAAAAATGAAATAGGGGCCATTTCGACAGGGGTTGGTGACAATATATCTCCGCCTCCTGCCAGCGTTGCTCTGGTCATTTTCCGGGAGGAAGCATTCATTCCATAGCAGGGAAGGGGGAACCTCAGGCTTGGAGAGCAACTGTGCCCAGAGGCAGAGCTAGCTGCTCCAACACCGAGAGCAGTGCATATGTTGTGCACCCAGGGGCAGGGCTAGCCACCCATGGGGGTGTGGTGAGCATCCCAGGCGGCGGCACAGCAAAGTCACCCCCCCAGGGATGACACCCGGGATGGACCGCACCCACCTCACCCCCTTCCTCCGTCAGTGACTGTGGCCCCCATTCAGCCCTCAAGACTCTCCCCAGGCCATGCCCCTCACCCAGTCCTGCTTTGCATCCCCCATCTAATGTTCTTGCATGGACGGAGTGTGACCTTGAACTTGGATCATGCCTCTTGCTTTCTTGGATGGAAGATAGAGAGTGGGAGATGTGCCTATAGAATCAAGCCCACTGTGCAAAAGACAGCCGGAGTGGTGTAGTGGTTAGAGTGTCAGACTAGGACCTGGGAGACCAGGGTTCAAATCCCCACTCTGCCATTAAGCTTACTGGGTTTGACTTTGGGCCAGTCACTGTCCCTAAGACGGTGCTACCTCACAGGGCTGTTGTGAGAATTAAATGAAGAGGTGGGAAACCATGTGCCCTATAGTGAAACACGATAAATAGTAATAAAGATGTCCTTCACATTTGTCACTCTTTCCACTCGTTGTAACAGGCTATATATGCCTTCCTGGCACCTGTAGGGTATTGGTGTGTGTGTTCCTTCTGTTTAGGTGTGTGTGGATGAAAACTAATATTGCCACAACTTTGAAGTTCTCGAGGGTGTTTTGTGGGGAGGGGAGGGGTTGTTTGCCTTTGTGTATGTTCAATTAAAGGTATGCAAATTTAAAATTGCCTATCCAGATGGCAACCATACAGATCGGCAGCTCTGAAACACGATCACAGTGAGCCATCCTTAGTTTAAATTAAAACTATTCAAGCCACAGCTTGCACAAGCACATATTTATGGGGAGGAAATCAATGCATGGTGGTTTATCCCGGCTTATTGCTGCTTCTGGGCTGCAGGGGATCGCTTAGAAAACCTCCATGTACATAGCCAGTATATCTTTGATTACCAGTTTTCTGGGGTGGGATGGTAGGAATAACAAGGTAAGCCCACCTTTTTATGTTCTGCTTGAGATCTTCTAAACACACACACAGAGACACACACACACACAGAGAGAGAGAGAGAGAGAGAGAGAGAGAGAGATGAAAATAGACTGATAGATTGCAGGGCCACATAGACACGGATCTGATCCAAAAAAGAGAATTATTAAGTTCATGTTTTCAAATACCTGAGAACCGAGTGTCACCTGTCCATTTCTGATGGAAGTCCCTCTTCCCCTGCAAACAATGGTTGAAGGATTCTGTGGCCTTGTTGCCTATGCAGATGGTGCTTCAAATTGACTGCAGCAATGGCATTATCGTCACATTTCAGGGGGAGGGTGGCTACAGCATCAGGGGCAATTTGAACAGCAATTATGAGCTACACAGGACAAGAGGAAGAGGCACATGAGCCCTGGGATCATGCCCACCTGTAATTTCGGTGCATGAATCAAACTCATCAGGAAGGGAAGCATGTATTGAGGCCAGGTGTCTAAATCTCACCCTCTTGAGAGCAAACTGCTTTCCTGCAGGGGACCTTTTCCTGTACAGTGGTACCTCGAGTTACATACGCTTCAGGTTACATACACTTCAGGTTACAGACTCCACTAACCCAGAAATATTACCTCGGGTTAAGAACTTTGCTTCAGGATGAGAACAGAAATCATGCTCTGGCGGTGCAGCAGCAGTGGGAGGCCCCATTAGCTAAAGTGGTGCTTCAGGTTAAGAACAGTTTCAGGTTAAGAACGGACCTCTGGAACGAATTAAGTACTTAACCCGAGGTACCACTGTATCCAGTTTCCAGAATTTCTAGAGGAGAGCTAGCATGGTGCAGTAGTTAGAGTTTTGAGCTGGGAACTAGACCACCAGAGGCCAAACCCTCACTTTGCTGGGTCATCAATTCTCAGGCAGCAACCTGCCTCACAGCAATGTTGTGAGGATGGGAGGGAGGACCTCCATGCATGGCAAATGGACAGACAGACAGACAGACAGACAGACTAGCTCCAAAGCAGAATCACTGACCTGAAATGACCAGCTTATTGCTCAAAATGCATTCTGATCCAACATAACAGGACTAATACATTTGAGGAACGACCGTGGTTTGAGCATCTGCCTTGCATGCAGAAGGTCTCAGGTTCAATCCTGGGCATCTTCGAGTAGGATTGGGAGAGATTCCATGTCTGAAACCCAGGAGGGTTACTGCCAGTCTGTGTAGACAATATTAGCTGGATTGGTGAGTTGACACTGTCTGATGCACCAGTTGGGTTTCTGTTTGCTTCTGCTTTTGGGGAGCGTGGCTCAGCTTTTGTGCTGAGCTCCACTCCCAAACTTCTAAACTCCTCCCATAGCCCCACCCCAAACTGTTGGCTCTGCCCCCCAGGTGTCAAACTGCTTTCTTTAGAGAGCTTGCAATGTGTGGTTTCTAGGGGAGAGAGGAAAAGAGGTGCCATTCTGCAAGCTGGGCCGCCCTTCCCATTGTCCGGCGTGTTGTGATTGCCTGTCTTCATTCCGCGCTGGAGAATGCAGAGGGGTCAGGCGATCAGCTGCCCTTGCTTTGGGCTCTGGGCTCGGATAACAGGATTTGTCAAACAAAAGCACAGACTGCCATGCAGCGGGGAGGGGAGGGAGGAAGATGAGCAGCGATGGAAAGCCCAGGGCAAGATGAGTCCGCAGCAGGAGAAGAAGAAAAGGCGCTTTGTGTCATCTATTCTGTGCTCCTTTTTTCTACCTTCAAAGGGGCTTTTGTGTCTGGTAATGTGAATAAATAGTTATCGGAAAGGAATGACCCCCCCTCCCCCAGTCTTGCCGCCTTGTCTCCAAGCTGGTAATCGCTACGGGAAACAAGGTGGAGGTGGGAAAGGTGGCAGAAAACAACATGCTCCGGGGGAGGTGGGTTGGGGGGTGCTTCAAAAAAGCTTATTTTTAAAAAATCACTATAGCTTCATTAGACTATCTGTTTACTGAATATCCATCCCAATTGGTTTGTATAAGGTTTGCAGGGAGGTTACACAATGATTTCTATTTGTCAAACATTGGTCCTCATTCGTTTCCACAGAGGTTATATGACATACAGCCAAGCAAGCGATATCTCATACATTCCAGGGCATTTCTCAAATACTCTTCTTATTGAAAGTGGGGGGGGGGGGGAGAAGCCATGGGGTTGTGGGATGATGGGTTTGCTGCACAAGACTGCCAAGTAAACATCAGCCGTGCCACCTGAATTTGTAGGCATGTGTTAGACTCCCACCTGAAAACAACAACAGCCTGGGAATGCACTGTGACCCTGCCACAGACAACACACCTTGTGTCGAGATGGCTAATGTTGCCAACTTTTCAGGTGTCTACTATAGCTGTGCCTGTAGCAGCAACTCAGAGCAAAGATTGGCCTTTGTCTGCATGCTTTGGAAAGCATCACTTGATTTTTGCAGATCAAGCTGCAAGTACAGTGGTACCTTGGGTTAAGAACTTAATTCATTCTGGAGGTCCGTTCTTAACCTGAAACTGTTCTTAACCTGAGATACCACTTTAGCTAATGGGGCCTCCCACTGCTGCCGCACGATTTCTGTTCTCATCCTGAAGCAAAGTTCTTAACCCGAGGTACTATTTCTGGGTTAGCGGAGTCTGTAACCTGAAGCGTCTGTAACCTGAAGCGTCTGTAACCCGAGGTACCACTGTACATGCACAGGAGCAAGCCGGGGCTTTTTTTCCCCCCAGGTCAGTTGGCAAACTGAAAGACAAACTGTGTGGCTGACAGTATGTGCTGCCTCCGACACAGCCTGTATGTGCTACTGTGCACCATCAGTCCAAAAGAATCTGATATAAGGCAAGAAAAAGATGGCAAACTCCCACTGGGAAATGCTCTTATAACTTTCCGATGTGCAAATGCAGTAAAATAAAGGTAAAGGTAAAGGTACCCCTGCCCGTACGGGCCAGTCTTGACAGACTCTAGGGTTTTGCGCTCATCTCACTCTATAGGCCGGGAGCCAGCACTGTCTGCAGACACTTCCGGGTCACGTGGCCAGTGTGACAAGCTGCATCTGGCGAGCCAGCGCAGCACACAGAACGCCATTTACCTTCCCGCTGGTAAACTGGTAATTTATCTACTTGCACTTTTGGGGGTGCTTTCGAACTGCTAGGTTGGCAGGCGCTGGGACCGAATGACAGGAGCGGACCCCGCCGCGGGGATTCGAACCGCCGACCATGCGATCGGCAAGTCCTAGGCACTGAGGTTTTACCCACAGCGCCACCCACGTCCCCTTATGCAGTAAAATAGCCAGTCTTAAATCCAGAGCTATTACCTCTAGAGCCCTAGGAAATGAAATGGCTTAACAGAGAAAGCCAACCACAGTGCGCTGTTAAATGCAGCCACTAAACTGGTTGCTGTTGTTAAACAAGTGCAGACAGCCGCTCAGGCAGAGGCGTGTCCCTGATGAAAGTAGCAATTGGGTGGAAAGTTGCAGCGGGTCATTTGCTAGGGAGGGGAAGAAGAGCAAGTTCCGAGTAGTCAATGAACAGCTTGTGGGTAACGCTCAGCTCATTAACAGGCCATGCAGGGAAGCAAGGCAAACTGAGGCAATGGTGCCATCTGGTTGCAAAAAATGGGCAATAGGCTTGGCCCTGGAACAGCTGCATCTTTGACATTACATCACAAGCTAACATTATGTCACGTGCAGGTACATTTAAATTTTATTTAATCTGGCTGCTTCTTGTTCAGATTTCTTTTTTTTAATCCTAAATTTGCAGATAAAAGCTGCTCAGAGCAATTTATGGTGTGGGAAGGGGGATCCTGGCTATGTTCCTGCTCTCTCTCTCAGCTGCTTTTCCAAACCAATACCTGGAGCCTAGCAAGGAGCAGAACAGCCAGGCAGGGGGATTTGGAGCACAGTCCTGACTCTCCCAATGCAGAGTAACTTTGCAGTGGGATGCGGGGGAGACAGTGGAACCTACAACAAAATGTTGCAGTGCTGAACATTCTTGCTCAGAGTCCCTTCCACCCAAGACAGGCAACCATCCAGTGAAGCTGAATGTTGGGAGATTCAGAACTGACCAAAAGAGGTGCTACTCCACACTGCACAGAATTAAAATGTGGAACTCACTGCCACAAGACACACTGATGGCCAACAACTTCAGTGGTTTTAAAAGAGGATTAGATAGATTCATGGAGGACAAGACTATTGATGGCTATGAATCACAATGGCTGTGTCCTACTGTACCTCCACTGTCAGAGAATGTAACCTCTGAAGGTTAGTTGCTGGGAATCACAGGTGAGCCAAGCGCTGCTGTTGTGCTCAGGTCCTGCTTGCAGGCTTCCCACAGGCATCTGTTTGGCCACTGTGAGAACAGGGTGCTGGATGAGATGGGCCTTTGGCCTGAGCCAGCAGTGCTCCTACTGGGTTCTGTCTCCTGCTGAGGACACCCGCCCTCCCTGTGTTTTGAGACAAGGAAGCCATTGCCTGTGGCTTTCTGAAAAGGAACACCACAGTCAAAATCTGCAACATGGCCCTATTTTGAACGTGGCCAACATGGAATTCCATGAGCCCATGTCCCCACCAGCCTTGCAGGAAGAAGATTGTTGAGACCTTTTCACCTGTACCTGCTGCCTGTCGGAGAAGAAGAAGAAGAAGAAGAAGAAGAAGAAGAAGAAGAAGAGTAGTTTGGATTTGATATCCCACTTTATCACTACCAGAAGGAGTCTCAAAGCAGCTAACATCCTCCTTTCCCTTCCTCCCCCACAACAAACACTCTGTGAGGTGGGTGGGGCTGAGAGACTTCAGAGACTAGCCCAAGTGTGACTAGCCCAAGGTCACCCAGCAGCTGCATGTGGAGGAGCGGAGACGCGAACCCGGTTCATCAGATTAGGAGTCTACCGCTCTTAACCACTACACCACACTGGCTCCTCCTATGTTGTTTTCCTTGCCTCACTTCGACTTTCACTTATTTGTTTGCTTGCATTCCCCTCAAACAAGGGTCCAGGACTGGGCAGGGGGGGCAAGCAAAGAAGCGGAAGGAAGCACCTGGGCACATATTAAAGATTGTGGCATTGCAGATGCTTGGGGGGGGGTGATTTAAACATGAAGTCAAAGACGATAATGGTGTTGTCAGAGCTGCAGTGTTAACACCAATCAATAATTCACTGATACACTGCCGGTGTGCCTTCAGCTATCATGTCCGCCTTTGGCAGGCGGGGGCAGGGGGGAACGGGTGCAGTAACAGGCAATTTGGTCCCTCGTGGCCTGAGGCTCATCTTCAAACGGAGGCTTTAATGACCTTCTGCAGCTTCAGATAGGGAGGAATGACAGAATCGACTGAGACTGGGTAAATACCACCTTTGGTTAAATTACATAGCCTTTCTGCGTAAATTTTGAGTTGGTGGGTCTGGGCCTGAAATGGCTTCATCATCAGAACAGAAGAAGATCCCTGCTAGATCAAGCCAATGGACAATCTAGTCATAAAATCATAGAACTGTGGAGTTGGAAAAGGACTGTGAGGATCATCAACCTCCTGCAATGCAGAAATCCTTCACCCAACATGGGGCTTGAACCCACAACCCTGAGATTAAGCATCTCGTGCTCTACCAACTGACCTAAGTCCAGCATCCTGTTCTCACAGTGGCCAACCAGATGCCCATAGGAAACCCTCAAGCAAGGAGGGTCCAAGCGCAAGAGCCCTCTCTCCTCCTATGGGTTCCAGCAAGTGGTCTTCAGGCAGTAACCAGGAGCGGTCAGCACAGTGGGGTGGGGCTGCCCCACTGCCCTCCCAACAGCAGGGTCACTCCTGCATACCAGAGCAGTGCAAAGTGGGGCAGTGGGATGGCAAGGTGGGAGTTGGATGGGTGCCCAGCAGAATGAATCCTGCATGGCTACCGGTGCACCCACATAACCCTGACCCCACCACCTGCTCTGCCGCCGCCCCCCACTGCCCTGGTAAATGGCAGGCCCAGCCAGCAGAGTTGTAGCCCGAAGCAGACAGAGCCCATTCCCAAGAAGGAAATGTAGGTTATTAAGAATGCAGTCAAAGCAACAATTCATGTTTTGCTAGATAGGCACATGATAGGAGCTGAAGCTTACAGAGTTTTCCTGCTAGAGAGAGCTCTGAGAGAGGCACTCCCACTGTGCCTTGACAGGAAAGGCTATACAGTATATATTATTCTACCGGCCTGAACACACCCTCGCCTTCTTTCCAACTCTTTCTGCTCTGCCAGCAATATGACAACATCTGCATGTCTGAGCTCCAAACTGGGGGCACTATTTTAAGCTAGACTTAAGTATGTATTAGGGATGCTGGTGGCGCTGTGGGTTAAACCACAGAGCCTAGGACTTGCTGATCAGAAGGCTGGCGGTTCGAATCCCCGCGACGGGGTGAGCTCCCGTTGCTCGGTCCCTGCTCCTGCCAACCTAGCAGTTCAAAAGCACATCAAAGTGCAAGTAGATAAATAGGTACCGCTCCGGCGGGAAGGTAAACAACGTTTCCGTGTGCTGCTCTGGTTCGCCAGAAGCGGCTTAGTCATGCTGGCCACAGGACCAAAAACTGTACGCTGGCTCCCTCGGCCAGTAAAGCGAGATGAGCGCCGCAACCCCAGAGTCAGCCACAACTGGACCTAAAAAAGGTCCCTTTACCTTTTTTAAGTATGTATTTGTAACTGAATTACCATTTTAAGCCTGCCTGAACAAAACTGCTGTATCTGTTACAAGTATTCTGAATGAATAAATGTTTATTTTTACCTTTTACAACACTGTGATTGTTATTTTAAGGGGGAGAAAAGGGCAAAATGCTAGGAAAATCCAGCCTGACTTAATGCACCTGGAGTGCTTCAACTAAAAGGCTAAAACTAGCCTATCCAACCTTCCCTTTTAAGCTGCAAAGGGATGGCACTCTGTTGAACTCACAAACATGAGGAAGGGGCTGTTTTGGGGTTAGGGGAAAACTGTATTTGATTATATGTTGTTCTTATATTCAACTAATAAAATATTCAAAACAAACAAACAAACACGAAGAAGGAAAGATAATATCTAATGAATATGTCCTCTCCTAACATCTATTCACATCCCAACAGGAAGAAGGTTGAAAGATTCAGGAACAACAGAAGAAAGTCCTTCTTCACACAGCAAATAGTTAAAGCGATGGAATTCACTCCCACAAGGAGGAGTGATGGCCACCAACTTAGCTGGCTTAGGCAAATTCATAGCTACTAGCCACAGTGACTATGTTCCACCTCCACTGTCGTAGTGAATGGGATGAGGGTGGCGCTGTGATCTAAACCACTGAGCCATTTGGTCTTGCCAATCAGAAGGTCGGCAGTTCGAATCCCCGCTACGGGGTGAGCTCCTGTTGCTCTGTCCCAGCTCCTGCCAACCTAGCAGTTTGAAAGCACGCCAGTGCAAGTAGATAAATAGGTACCACTGTGGCAGGAAGGTAAACAGTGTTCCCATGCGCGTTGGCTTCCTTCACTGTGTTCTGTTGCGTCAGAAGCGGCTTAGTCATACTGGCCACATGACCCGGAAAGCTGTCTGGGGATAAACGCCAGCTCCCTCGGCCCGAAAGCCAGATGAGTGCCGCAACCCCATAGTCACCTTTGACTGGACTTAACCGTCCAGGGGTCCTTTACCTTTACCTTTCTTATTGTAGGCAGTATGCCTCTGGGTACCAGTCGCTTGGAATCACAGGTGGAGAAAGTTGCTGCTGAAGGCATCTCAGTGGCATCTGGCAAGGAGGCACCTTCAAGGATCGGGGTCAGGAGCATGCAACTCTGAACAGGCTCCCACCATCTCTGACCTCCCATTCTGCACACAGGGGCAGCTTCTCGGTGCTGCAAGCATCGCCTTCCCAACAGGCCCTCTGGTCAGTATTCCACAGAGGCCGCCAGCAGCCTTGCGGAACCCGTGACCCACAAACGCCTTGATTAGCACTTCTTTTCAGCCCATTTAGCTACGCAAATGCCTCTGTCACGGCTGAACGGCCACGTCTTTGCCACTTGCTTTCCCATTAATTCAGCGCGAAAATTGGTGGTGCCTGGAATACAGGTGGAGCCGCCGCCGCTTCCGTCTCGGTTTCCTGACACCTGCCCTCCTTCTCCGCCAGAGTTAATCATGCAGGGAACAAAGATCCCTTTGAATCGCTTAATGACTTCGTTTCCCCGAGGCCAGAGAGAGAAAGCGTGTGCGGCAGCAGCAGTGGCGGCATCGCCAACCGCACTGCTCTAGCGCACGGTTGCCAACTTTCGTGAGGTATCTATGCTCATGAACATTTAATGGCAGTTTGATCTGCAGGCATTAACAGGCGAGAATGTTTCCTCTAATTCACCTGCTAATTTTCTGTTGATCAAACCGTATTTTTTTGAAAAAGGCAAAAGAGTAGCTCAGACTAAGTTTTATGTTGATCAGTTGGTAACTGCACTCCCAGCATTTAGCAACAAAAGAGTTATCAATACTTGTTCATTTTGTAATATGCTTTTGGTGTTTTCAATGAATATTTACTCACACACACACACACACACACACACAATTTTTCACACTATTTTAAATAAATTTTAAATTCACGTGCTTCTGGCTCTTTGGTCACTATCTGTATGCTCACTGGAGCAAATTAATATAGTCTGAATTAAGAACCTAGGTTTTTTATGTGCAAATGAAGCCGCTGAGGTTATCTCTGCTTAGGGAAATCACAGTGTGTGTGAAGCAGCCTTGCAGGCCAATGATATAGCACATTTTGAAAGAGAAAGACAGGGAATGCAGACAAAAAGAATGCCCCTTAAAATAAATCCCACACGCCAACTTTAAAGACACTTTATTTTCTTTTCACATCTCTAACCTCCCTCCTCTGTTTCTTTTCCAGAAGTTTGCTCTTGCAAGCCTGTACTGCCATCTGGTGGGATTTCTGTGCAAGTGATCCCAGTTAGTCAGGGCTGAATTAAGACTCATAGATGCCCTGAGAACTGAAAATATTATGGTGCCCCCTTCTATATGTAATTCAAAACAAACACAATGCCAAACTGGAAAATTTAAATTGGGTGGTTGAGTGTAAGGAAGTCTAACAAAGCTTTGAATTTCCCCGTGATGACTACTGTGGTGTGGGACTTTTGTTTGGCTGGTTGTTTTTCAAAAACAAAATCCTCATTATTATTTTTTGAGCCATTATTATTTTGCTGATGCCCTAACAACATACTTGGTCCACCAATTGGGCAATCCACTGCAGCATTTAGTGTAGGCTCCAGATTTGTTTGAAAGGGGCTGGGGAATGGGATGGGGAATCTCTGGCACACGAGACCTCCACATGCAGCCTATGAATCCATTTTCCCCAAACTGCACCCACCTGCCCCAAACCTGAATATTGTATTCAATATCAGGTGTGGGGCAGGCAGAGACATAGTTGGATTAGCAGCTTACCCCCGCAGGAAGCAGGATTGAACTTGATCCTGCAGGGTAGCAGGAACCCCACCTCCATGGGACAACTTTGAGAGGTGAGTTGGACAACCAACCACCAATCACCTGCCATTCCCCTGCCATCATTATTATGTCAGGTGATTGGCAGGGGTATAGTCCCACCTACCTAAGTTAGCCTGTGGGGTTTGGGTGTCATGGACACAGAGGAGTGGCGAGAGCCACCAGCTGGGGAACCCCAAGGAATGAAGGCTCAGAGCCCAGGGACTGGTGGTGGGACAACGATGAGTAGACAGAGGGAGAAGAGGGAGCAGACTGGGAGGAGGTGGTGTCAGAAGCTGAAGAGGCAACAGGGTTTAGTGAGCAGGGAGAGTATGTGGCAGACAGAAGTCCAGAAGCAGAAGCTGAAGAGGAGAGAGGCCAACAGGCAGAAATGAGTCAGGCTGGTGAAGAAGCCAGGGTGTCTCCACTCCTGCTACAACAAGCTCTCCTGCCCCCTGGTTTCCCAGGATTAGAAGAGGCATGAAGAGGGAGCAGCAGAGACAGGCTAAGGCACCACCATGTCCTCCCACTTCCTGGCCACTTTCACCACTGCCCATCTGTTGCCCTTTGCACACTGCAGCCCATAATGAGACAGCAGTTTAAGTGGAGTCTGCATCTTCTCCTCCTGCTTGTCACTGCTCACACTGCTGCTCAGGCAGCCTTAGCAAAGAGGAGGAACAGGGTCTGGTGGGGCTTTAGGGATCAGCAGCAGGCCCTGTGCAGGGATGTGGGCCTTGGCCGATGCCCTGTGGTGCCAACTCCGGGCACCAGGACTGCGTGCACACTTACCCTTTAATAACTTTGCACCCTCCAAAAAAAAGGATGAAAGGAAAGCCCAGCCTGCCTTTTAGAAAGCAGTTTAAATGGTTAGCAATTTTTTATTAGTCATTCACAGTTCACAAAGCCAGGCATTTATAATAGCCCAAGCAAAAAAAAGTAAGTAAATCCTTCCACAGGATTCAGGCTGTTTCTCTGGCCATTTCAAGAAGGCAGGGCTTTCACAGCCAAAGAAGAAGACCCAGAGGGCAGAGCAGGAAGGGCACCTTCTTCTCCTCAAGAGCCACAAGGAAGCAGGGACTCTGGGAGGAGGAAAGCACAGGAAGAAGATCAGGGGGGAAGAATGGTGCTCCTGCATAGGTAAAACATCAGATGTCACTGCTAGAGCTGCTACCAGGTCATTATTTCCCAACAGACGTTTCAGATTGCTAACTAAGCGACTGATGATTTTTCGAGTTTGATCCAGAGATCAGGAAAAAACTAGAGGCTTCTGCATTTTCCTTCCCCCAGATTCCTGCCCAAGCTGTATGGATGAGATCAGGGATGCGGAACATGTAATCCTCAGGATGCCATTGACCTACAACTCTCATCAACCCCCAGCCGGTATGACCAGTGGTCAAGAATGATGGGAGTTGTAGTCCAACAACATTGAGGTCATGAGTCCCATAGAGATGTCATGGAGGGCATGGGAGGATCCTGAGGAGGAATGGAAGCAACTTGGGGCATTGGATCTGAGCAGTCCTGAAGGGGGTCCTGGCAGGATGGGGGAAATTGACTGTAGGCAGGGGTGTAGCACTGTTCACCGGTGCCTGGGATAGGTGTGTGTGCATGTGTGCCAAGCAGGTGGAGCATGCTTGCCCAGCCTGCAATGCCCGATGGGCACTCATGCACCAGGCGGGGAGCGGAGGGTGAAGAGCACCCCCCACATGTTAAAATTCCTGCTCCATGATTGCAGTCATGGGATTGTTGTCTATCACATGATGGTATATGTTTTGACTCCACAGAGTGGGAAGTGACGGAGACAGGATGTTTGTGTTACTGTGTTCCGTGAAGTGGGACTATTGTCCTTTGTTCTTTTTCTCTTTGCTGTCTGATGCTAGAGAGAGAAGGCGCCATGTTGCAGTGCTTCATGTGTTTATATGTAAATAAAGTAGATTAGCCAAAATGCTGAGTTGCTGTTTGCACAACTGCACAAACTCTGCGAATCCCTAAGTGTGCCAGTGTCGGTTGGCATCGGTCGCTGTGATGTTTGGGCTGAAGAAAGCTTCTGAAGCTCCCGAACGATCAACCAGGAGGGGGAGAACATGCCAGTTGGGCATGCGTCTCTGCCAGGGTCCTACTGGAGTGTAGGCTGAACTCCTGACACTGCATTCCCCAACCCATGCTGCCTCTGGACGGCTGCTCGCATGCCAAGTGGGGGCACAGCACAGAAGGTGCTGTTCACCCTCTGCACTCCCCAGGCAGGGCAGGGCAGGAATCTCTGTGGGGCTGCCTGGTTTTCACATACACCCCTTCAGACTGTGCACCCGGGGCAACAGCCCCCCTGGCACCCCCCACGCTATTCCATTGACTGTGAGATCCCAAGATGTGTCTGAGCCCACAGAAATCCAGGAAATGGAAAGCTGGGTCCAGGGAAGGGATAATTCAGGTTGGCAGAAAAGTACCCCTGTGGCATCAGGCACCTCTAATCAGAGACAGCCTGAAGTTGAGTTCCCCTACCCCAGCACTGCCTCCGGGCGGTGAGGAGTTTCCTCCTGCAGGGGGAGGCAACAGAGACTAAATTGGATGCTGAGCCAGTGCTGTCAACACCTCCATCCTTCAGGGTCATGGAGGCACTAGAGGTGGCATGAACAGAGCTCACAGACCCAGCCCACTAGGTCAATGGCCCATCCAGCCCAGCATACTGCTCTTACAGTGGCCAGCCTGTGGGAAACCTGCAAGTAGCACATGAGCATAATTGTGCTCACCTGTGGTTTCCAGCCACAAGTATTCAGAATCCTTACTATTTCCAATTGTGGAGGCAGATCATAGCCATCATGGCTGGTACATAGAGCTAAACATTAACAGAAGAGTCCTAATGGTAAGGGCTGTTTAGCAGTGGAACAGAGGTGGCCAGCTGTCTTTCTGTGGAAATAGGCAACCACATCTCAGCGCTGTGGCTGCAGGTTCCTGCAATGAGTGGGGTTAAATGGCCTCGGGGTCCCTTGCAATGCTAAAATCCCATGGAGGGAAAGGCAGAGGGCTGGGGATGAGCACCTCACCTGTCCGTGTCTTAATACGCTGGCATTGAGAAGTGGAGATTGGTGTCTGATGGGCCGCTGTCCAGGTCGGTCACAGCTTGGAACATGACCCTGGAGACACTGGGAGGTAAAGAAATGAGGTCAGACCAAACTTGCTCTCATGCAGATTCTGGACAAGAGCTGGTAGTGATTCAGGGCACAAAAACCTGCTGAAGGTGCACATCCAGGAACCCTGGACAAGACCCCCCCAACCACCCTTGTGAGATGGCCACTTAGCTGCGCCAAACACACCAGCACGTCAGCCTGCCACAGCAATGTGAGGTGGCAAGTCCATCAATAAAACTGAGGTTTCCAGACATGCTACCCAATAGAGCAGCTCTGGGAAAGGGGTTAGAGAGGAAGGCATCAAGGCTCTTTGGAAGGCCAGCAAGCCACTTAAGAGGCTGCAAGCCCAGCAGAAAAAGGAGGAGGAGGCAGCCCAACCACATTGCCTCCTATTATAAGTCCACAGGGTGAAATCAAGGGCAATTCTGGACTTGGGGAGCATGTCTGAATCTTCCCTGGATTGAGACCCACACACAGTACACGCAAGGTCAAGCATGGTGGGCCTCTTGAGCTCACACACACTTTGTCACCAAACCCCCACTTCAAAACATATCCCAGACTGGGAAACCTTCACCCCATAGGCATAATTAGGCCTGGCATTGACTGGCATCCATATGTCCTGGAGACAATGAAGACGACAGCAATATTTCTTCATGCCAGTTGCTGTAAAATGGTAGGAGGGGAGAGTGGCTCTTGTGCTCAAATCTCACTTGCTGGTTTCCCATTGGGGCATCTGGTTGGCCACTGTGAGAACAGGATGCTGGACTAGATGAGCCATTGGTCTGATCCAGCAGGCTCTTCTTCTGTTCTTATCTCCAAATAGGGCTAGGAAGGACCTCTGCTAGAAATCCCGGTCAGTGTAGACAAGAATGAACTAGATGGACCAATTGTCCCCTTATCACCCTCCAACAGTGAGTTAAGCATTCCAGAAGTGCTTTCTTTTGCACATATGAGGAATAGCAAAGAAAGATGGGTTTGACAATAACTCCCTTCTGTCTCAATCACAGCAACCACTATGGAGAAATTATCTTAACACTTTTAGTTTGTGTGTGTGTGTGTGTGTGTGTGTACCGTATTTTTCGCTCTATAAGATGCACTTTCCCCTCCTAAAAAGTAAGTGCGTCTTATGGAGCGAATGCAGGCAGGAGGCTCTGCTCAGCGCTCCCTTTAAAGAGCCACGTGGAGCGTGTGTGCAGCTCTTGGGGGCTTTCCCCCGAGGAGGGAGAAGGGCTGCTCCACACACACTCCACACGCTCTTTAAAGGGAGCACGGCTCTTGGGGGAGCCTTCATCCCACTGTTTGGGAGAGGCTGTGCGCAGCTATCCCATAAGCCAGGACAGCAAGCGGGATCACTGCGCTGCAATCCTTCTTGCTGTCCTGGCTTCTGGGATTCAGAATATATTTTTTTCTTGTTTTCCTCCTCCAAAAACTAGGTGCGTCTTATGGTCTGGTGCGTCTTATAGAGCGAAAAATACGGTGTGTGTGTGTGTGTGTGTGTGTGTGTGTGTGTGTACCAATTGTCTGACTCAATGTAAGGAAGTTCCCTATGAAACAATATACAGTGGTACCTCGGGTTACATACGCTTCAGGTTACACACTCCGCTAACCCAGAAATAGTGCTTCAGGTTAAGAACTTTGCTTCAGGATAAGAACAGAAATTGGGCTCCGGCAGTGCAGTGGCAGCAGGAGGCCTCATTAGTTAAAGTGATGCTTCAGATTAAGAACAGTTTCAGGTTAAGAATGGACCTCCGGAATGAATTAAGTACTTAACCCGAGGTACCACTGTAAAAACAGAAGTTAAGGAAAACTAGTTGGCCTAAATGGAATACCCCTTGCCAGTTTCTTTGGATGTGATTCAAATTGCAATATCCATATGCAGATCAACTCCGACTATAGAAACTGTGTGTAGAGATGTTATGGTCTATTTTCCCACTCCTAGGGTTAGAGACTCACTGATATGAGCACTGTTAAAAGAATTCCACATTGGATCACATCTAGGATTCAGTGAATTTATTTTCATACTAATGGGGCAGAACTAGGTAAGAATTATTTTTGGAAGCTGGTGTTAAGGGTAGAAGGGGAGCATTGTATTGAACTTGCAGGGATAGAATTGTTATCTCAGGAGTGTAAAAAGTTGCTTTAAACTGGGTCAGGGCATTGGTCTATCTAGCTCAACATTTTCTACACTCACTGATAGTAGCAGCTCTCCAGGATTTCAGGTAGAGGACATTCCCAATCTTATTTGGAGATGCTGGGGATTGAACCTGGGGAGTTCTGCATGCAGAGCAGATGCTCTACCACTGAGCTATGGCCCTTCCCCATATGTGTAAGCAACAGAAATGCTGCTAAAAGCTATTTGCCCTTCCAGCTGGGTCTCACCTATTGCTCACTTTATCCAGCCTCTCTTGCATGGCATCCTTTCTCATATCGCTCGTGACATGATACACCCGGGTGTGACTGAAAAATAGAATCATAGAGTTGGAAAGGACATCAATATGTCATCTAGTCCAACCCCTGCCCAGGAAACCACAGCAACAACAACAACCCAACAACAAGAGTAGTCTTAAAGTTCTTCACCACCCCATGAGGCTCCAAGATACGTTGTAATAATTTTAAAACAGCAACATTAAAAACAATTAAAGCAGAATAGAATCAAGATAATGGGGAAATCATTAGGTAGTCATCTAGCCTCTTCTTAAAATCCCATTCCAAAGGAGAGTCAACCACCATCAAAGGCAATATTTGTTCCACAGTCAGGAAATTTCTCATAATATTTAGTTTAAATCAATTTTCTTGTCAATTGGACCCATCAGTTTAGGTCCTGGTCTTTGGGAGTATCTGAAAAGGAATCTGATTCATCATCTATGTGACAGCTGTTCAAATATTTGAAGATGGCAATCCTCTCCCCTTTTAACTGCTTCTTCTCTGGGCTAAATTTACCAAACCTGCCAGGTTTTCAAGGAGGTCTAGTGCTAAAAATCCACTCATCTCTCAAAGTGAGTCTTGCATACAGTTGAGTTGTCACAAGTAGCCATGCTCTACTCTCAGACGGCCTCGTTAAATTACACATAATGCTTGAACTCAGCTCTGCTCATCTTTTGGGTGCACATCTGAAGAGGTCTAGCTCCATGGTTTTCTGTTTCCTCCCCTCTGGATCCCCTCTCCACATTGAGTTGCCTGCTGTGGAATCATCTGCATATCTTCCGTGGGATTCCAGCATAGTGCAAAGGATTCAGGATCACTTTCTAGATCAAAGGTGGGGAGCCTTTCCAGTACGGCGAAGTGGGGACCCCTTTAAAAATCACAGGCGGATGAAGCCTGTGACCATGGGACTCGGCGGGCACCCTTAGCGCCCCCCCAACCCGCAAAGGAACCCACTAACGGGCTCCGAAGTGAAGAGGGGGAAGCGGCGCGGTGCTGTGAGTCAACTGCTATTTCCGTGGAGCGAAGCCGCATAGCCGTTGCCAGAGAGCGCTGCCTTTTTCCTGGGACAATTTGGCTTCTAAATAAGCACCCGTGATTACTTGAAACTTTGAACAAATTGGACTTTAAACAAGGATTTGCGAGCAGAAAGGAATTGGATTCAAAAATTTACCTCAATTTGGTACTGAAACGGGAAGGTCTAAACAGGAAGTCAGCCTTCCATTTCTTTGTAGATAGAATAAAGCAAAGACAACGTAAACTAGAGCTTAGAAAATTGCTTCTAAAGAATCGGCTTTCATAATTTAAAATCTCGAACCCCTCTTCGGTAGCAGGAGAAGAAGGGGGATCTTTTTCGGACTGTTTAAACCTGCAGAAGTGAGTTTAAAGTAAAGTAATTTTCCACCGTCCTGATCCTGGAGCGGGGTGTCAGGACTGACGTTTGAAGCTCATTGACCAGAGACAAACGCTTTTGACAGATAGCTAAAAGAAGAGAAACATAGTGATTCCAATGTTTCCTTTCGCATTTTAAAGGAACAAATATTGACAAAATATCTCAAAAAAGAAACTTTGTTGCAAGAACAATTAGAAGTTTTCCCCCTAGAGGGAGACTGGGAAACTGTAACTAACTCCAGGGAGCTTGCAGCTGTCATAGATTACAATCGTGGGAAAAGGCTTGTGACCTTGTAGGAAAATGTATTCAGAAGCTCTGTTGTGTGCTCTCTGTAAAATAAATGCTCTACTGGAACAGTTAACCGAGAAGATGGATTTGATGACTAATGCGGCCAGAATTTTTGAACAGGCAGTGGGAAACTATATGGAGCCCACTCAGGAATTAAATCAGGAGTGTGCCCTGACAGAACAGATGAGAGAAGAGGATGTTGCAGAATCTTGGGCGCCAGAGATGGAGGGAGCTGCGGCCCAGCAGGAATATGAGCTTTTGGATTTGACAAATGAACTTGGAAAAAGCCAGATTAGGAAAGATAAAGTTTGGACTGATTTGGAAATGGGGGGTTGGATAGACCCCCCTATGCAGGGATGTTTGGACTTTCCTAGTCTGGCAATGGGCCGTGAGATGTTTGGAGCTGTGGGGGCTCTCAACTTTGGAGGGATTCTGAAACATGTCTTTAAATACTACATGGAGTTTGGTCTGGACTATGGAAAAGGGGCTGACTTGTTGAAATGGGTCAAAAACATTACCAAGCTGGGGTTCCCACGAGTGGAAGGTAAATATGAAGAAGAGCTCCGGAAGGGACATGGAAGGGACTTAAGGGCCTCGGATATAAGGTTACCAGGTTAATGCGCTAGATCGATGGGATAAAAAGGACTGACAAAACCCGGGACCAGGAGGAAGGGACGCTCGATGAAGATTGGATTGTTTCTATTTCTTTTTTTTACTACTAGGATTGTTTTATAAAACTGATGACTGTTAGAAAAATGTTGGAACGAAATTACTTGGCTCTAGCAAAAATGTTTAAAATAAGATTTAAGTTTTAAGGTTTTTTATAAGATAAGATGAAAATAGATAAAGGTAATGTAATGACAGAATATTATGAAATATGGAAAGGATTTGCTGCGATAATTAATAACTGGGATACAAAAAAAGGGAGGAGGAGGAGGTCAAAGAAAGAAGGTAATGAAAGTTGAAGATTTGAGAATGTTGGTTTTATTTTTATATGTTTGTGGTGTATTTTTGTTTTTTGAATTTGTATTGTTGGATGTGATTTGTTTTCTTTTTCTCTTTTTTGTTTCTTTTTTCTTTCTCTGCTTTGTGTTTTTTTTTGTAATTTTAAAAATTTTCAATAAATATCATTTAAAAAAAAAACAAAGGTGGGGAGCCTGCAGGCCTGCAGATGTTATTAGGTTACCACTCCCAATGTCTCTGGCCATTCTGCTGACTGAGGCAGCTGAGTGTTGGAGTACACTAACATCTAAAGGGTTGCAGGTCCTCCTTTCACCATCCAGATGTTGCTGAACTACAACTCCCACTATCCCTGGGGTGATGAGAGTTGTAGTTCAGCAACATCTGGGTGACCAAAGGTTTCCCACACTACAAAACTATTTTGTGGTTGCATATTTCGAGGAAAGATCAATGTCCCACCCCTGTTCAAGAGTGTGCACTCAGATCATTCAGAGTGCCATTGCTCATCGCTTCAGTGGACACCATTGACTCATGTGAAGGCTCACCTCCATCGGACAAACTGGATCCTTGTCCTGTCATCTGTCAGGTCCAGGCTGGAACTGGATGAAAGTATTGTGCTGGAACACTCCTGCAACAGGGATATGAAAAGTCTGCTTATGTGCACCAGAAAAATCTTGGTGTATACTCGATTCTGGCCAAACTAAGCTTCCTGATGTATATATTGCTCTAGGAGGAATAGTTTGGAGACATAGTCAAGTATACACTTCCAGAGGTAATGCAAAATACGTAACTTCTGGTAAATGAGCCACACTAGTTGCTAGAGGGCCATGAAAATTCCAGTCTTCCACATGGAATTGCATACTCACTTCTCTGAATTTTGCAATGCAGGTTTGGTTCAGTCAAAATACATTTGAAAAGGTGTTCTTTACAGGATCAAAGATCCCAAAAAAATTATTTTAAAGGGGGGAATGAGTTGAAAATGAGTACAAAAAGCTTACAAGTTGCATATTTCAAGGAAAAGTGCATATAAAACTATGTGCAATTTAAATGCAAATTCATTGTATAGCTCTTTTTTTTAAAAGCTATGCAGAAAGTAGGGGAAGAATGGACTTATTGAAACTGACACAGACAGAAATACACTGATTTCTCCATAGAATACTTGCTTTTGCAGGCTATGGCTGCATACACACCATAAATTTAAAGCACATTGGAAGAATATTCATCACCATGCACACAAAAAGAATGCTGGAAACTGTAGTTTACCACTCACAGAACCACAATCCCAAGACCCAATACAGTTTTCCAGATGTTTGGGGGAGTGCACTTTCAATAGATGGTGCATCCACAGCCTATTTTTGCTCCTCTACTTCCTTTTCTCTATCCCATTCTCATCTGCACATAAACTGCTGCAGCTCTCACTCACCCTTGGTGGCCTCCTGTCTTCAAAGGTCTCCCAGGTTTCTGGTTTTGATCTTGCTGCTGCCAAATCTAGGCCAACTGAAGGAAAAGTTCTGATCCCTTCCACCTGGCAGTCCGACCTGTTTTCTGACTTCTGCCTAAAGATCTTGACAGCATCTTCTTCGATCTAAGAGGCAACACAAACACACATGCTACCACCATATTCTCCCCCAAAGTGAAGTTATTTATCATACAAAACTGGTTGGTCACCATTAATGTCATTACAGTTGTACCTTGGTTTTTGAACAGTTTAGTTCCCAAATGTTTTGGCTCCCAAACGTCGCAAACCCGGAAGTGACTGTTCCGGTTTGTGAACTATTTTTGGAAGCCGAATGTCCAACCGGGCTTCCGCGGTTTCTGATTGGCTTCAGGAGCTTCCTGCAGCCAATTAGAAGCCATGATTTGGTTTTCGAACATTTTGGAAGCCAAACGGACTTCCGGAACTGATTCCGTTGGACTTCCAAGGTACAACTACTGATTTATGCCAAGTCATAAATGTGAATGACACTTGACTTCATAGAGTTTCATAAGAAGAGAGAGATGAAAAGAAACAGGCTTCTGCCCCGAAATGAGATTGCAATTTAGATATCATGGGAGGCAAAGCATGAAGAGAGGGGACTTTGAACAGGACCTCAGCATAGCTAACTTTTATGCAGGATCAAACCCTCACTCATATCAGGGCCAACCAACTAAAAAATGCATTTTGCAACTCATGGCTCCAAAAAGGCCCAGACTCACTCAAGGCAGAACATCAACATTTCTTCTCTCCCTCCCTTCACATTGCACAATAAAATATATTTAGAAATGCAGATATTGAGAGGGAAATTAGAAATGCATAGGTTTGAGATAATATGCTTAAAAATAAATATGTGTGTGCAGATTAAAACAACAATGGATTGATGTAAACCAGGATGGGAAAGACTTGGGAATGATGCGTGTGACAGCAGTTCTAGATACATGTGGAAGTGAAAACATCCACATGTGGCTCAGTTATGCTTACCCCTAGCCTAGCTATCCACAATGGAAAAACCATCCTGTACCCCTTAGGCTCCTCTGCATTTTAGATCCTTGGTTAAACGTGGTTTCGAAAACATCCGACAGCTTCCCTAAGTGCAGAAGGCTAACCTGGTGCAGACAACCATCCTTGAACATGCAGAGTTTGAGGAGGGTAGCACTAGCATGCTCATGCTCATATGGCTAGTTAAGTCCCATGATGAGTGCTTACATAGGTCCCCGGTCTCCATGCTAATGTTGTGTGCTGGATCCGAATTCCTTCCAAACAGTCTGCATGGACAGAGCATAGAAAGCTGCCCAATATTAACTCAGCCCCTTGTTTCATCTGTCTCAGTACTGTCAACACTGACAGGCGGTAGCTTGAATTTTATTCGGTTCGTAAAATGTATACACTGCTTGATGGTTAAAAAACAACAAGCCGCTTATAAAAAGAATGAAACAATAATATTATTAGTAAAAACAACAGTTCAAAGCATTTAATAATAATAATAATAATAATAATAACCCAAAGTAATCAATAAACTAAAACTAGATTAAAACACACACCAACATTCCAAATATCTGGACAGGTTTGTCTAAGCTAAAAGCTTTCCCAGAGATTTGGGCAAGGAAACTTTCCCAGACACACCTGAAGATGGGGGGGACTGAATTTGGGAGCTTCTGCATGCAAAGCAGATACTCTGCCACTGAGCTATGGCTTACCTGCCCCCAATTTCAGCCCGTAGCCCTATTTGTTACACTCACCTTCTTCAGCCAATGCTCCAATACGTACTCTATCTCTGGCTCAACTATGTTATCAGCCTTAAAGGGAAAAGGGAAAATGAGTGGTAGTGAGAAATTCAACAGGGTCACTTTATAGTAAGTATCACCAGTGCTTTTTTTAAAATGGGGGTACTCAAGGGTATGCAGTACCTGCACCCTTTTTCTAGAAGAAAAGCACTGATATCAATCCCCCCTTCACAACCTCACAGCCCCTCCTGTGTCCTTACTGGAGCATCGTCAGCTGGGAAAGGTGTTCTAGAAGCCCTGCGGAACAAGATGTACGCTCCCCATGTGGTAATGATCATCCTGAGGCACTCTTAGCGAGGGCCAGATCTCCCTTGCCTCAACCACCGTTCTCATCTGCCCTAGAAAACGTGTGGCCTCTGCAATTCCAGTTGTGTGTTTGTGGCAGGGAGACATTATTGCGTCACTAAGTGCAAAAAAACAGTTGTCCGGGCAACCATGACGTCATAATGAGATGGGGTAGGGCAGATACTTATTGGTCAGATTCATTGTGGAATAAATATAGCTGTTTATTCTTTTGAATCTGGAAGACTGTGGACTTTACCACGAAAGGCTGGCTTGTGAATGTCCAACAACTAGCCTTGAATGAGAATCTTACTGAGTGCAGCAGGGCCAGCAAGGTGCGAAAGACAGGATACCCGGATGACCTTCATTTGGCACTTAGCTAAAGTTCTCAAAAACTGGTTGTGCACCAACAGCATAAAATACTGGGTAACTGTTTTTTGTGCAGCTGCAATTGCTTGTTGGTGGAGGATCTTGTCCTAATTTTAAAATTATTAACACCTTAAGTTGTTGTGCCTCATTTCAATATAGTGATTTTAAATTTCTCACTTTTTTATATTCTACATAGTTTTTTTAATTCTATATTTAATATTGTACTTAATGTACTATATTGTGTCCCTCCTTTTCAGCTGGTTATTACCCAAAATAAATTAACATAAAATGCATTTGGGAATTATCTATGCTCGCAAGTTTAGTAAAAATGGACTTTGATTTCTGGAATGATGGACCTCAGTTATGTGTTTTTACTATTTTTGGGTTGGGAGCTGCCCAGAGTGGCAGGGGCAACCCAGTCAGATGGGTAGCATATAAATAATGTAGTAGTAGTAGTAGTAGTAGTAGTAGTAGCAGCAGCAGCAGCAGTAGCAGTATTAGATGGGGTGTGAGGACGATGGCGCAGTATTGCTTTGGGTTTGGGTTTGCTTCAAGAAAAGCAACAAATACATGTTACTTTCAAAACAATGTACGGCCTGTCATATCCTACCAGAGTGTAAGAAGTGTGTTGATACAATTGAAAGCGCAAAGTTAACTTTGAATGCATGGTGTGGAAATTAACTTTTGTGCCCTGCAGCCTCAGTCCTTCCCCTTTAACGCCTCTGGGAAACAATCCCATGCAGACAGAAGGAAGCTGACCTAGAGTTGCCCCTCCCTCCATCAAATCAAATAGGAAGGCTGGCTGAGCTATATCTCTGGAGAATCCATGGAGTGCTGATTCAGAACCAAGGTTATTGGATTGGTTCAGGACCGATTGTGTCTGTTCCAAGGTGTGTGGGTGTAGGTGTCAGGTGGTGGTGGTAGGGTAAGTCATAAAGTGCCTGGTCAAATCTCTAAAGACACACTGGTGTCCATTTAGGATTCTGGGTACAACAAACACAGATGTCTGTACTTACCCAGAGATGTCTCTGGAGCAGAGTTGCCACCAAAGTCCTGGGAGCGAATTCCATAGCTTAACTACATGCTGTGTGAAGAAGTACTTTCTTTTTGTCTGTCTGCCCTGAATCTTCCAATGTTTAGCTTCATGCACTCTCTCTGAGTGGATGTAGGATTTCTCATGACATTACTTTTAAGGTTGCCCAGGGGTGTTTGTGAGTGTCCTCACTGTCATTCTTCAAACCATCTTTCCAGCATTCTGCAGCCTCTCTGGGTGCTCATTCTTCAAAAACCTTATGTCCCAGGCTGGTTTTTCCTGGAAGTGCAGGAAGGTGGGAAGTCTGCCTACAACTGGTCATTGTTGTACTTTTTAAGTGAAATCTTTTTACTTTTAAGCAAATCCAGTCAGAAAGATGTCTTTAAAAGGTTATAGGAAGAGATTTATTTTTTAGAAAATGTGAGCACACTGATTTCAGGTGCTTAGGAGCTAGACTCCCTAGTATCATGCACTTTGATTAAATCTAAAGAGAAGGCACCAAATGGTTACTCCTTCCAAGGTGCTATTTCAGAGCAGAATGTAAGAAAAGTGTTGTTGCTGACCTTTAAAGCCTTAAACGGCCTCGGCCCAGTATACCTGAAGGAGCATCTCCATCCCCATCATTCAGCCCAGACACTGATGTCCAGTGTTGAGGGCCTTCTGGTGGTTCCCTCATTGCGAGAAGTGAGGTTACATGGAACCAGGCAGAAGGCCTTCTTGGTAGTGGTGTCATACCATCAGATGTCAAGGAACTATCCGACTTTTAGAATACTGTACATCTGAAGGCAGCTCTGTTTAGGAAAGTTTTTAATGTTTGAAGTTTTATTCTGTTTTCAATGTTCTGTTGAAAACCGCCCAGAGTGGCTAGGGAAACCCAGCCAGATGGGTGGGGTAGAAAATAAAATAAAATAGTAGTAGTAGTAGTAGTAGTAGTAGTAGTAGTAGTAGTATAGTAGTAGTAGTAATAGCCAGCTGGATCAAGCCAATGGCCCATCTAGTCCAGCATCCTGTTCTCTCACAGTAGCCAACCAGGTGCCCTGCCATGGGAAACCTGAAAGCAGGAAACAAGTGCAAGAGCACTATTCTCCCCTCCAGTTTTCCAGCAACTGGTATTCAGGTGCATTGCTGTCTCTGACCATGGAGCCATCATAGCTAGTAGCCATTGATAGCCTTTTACCTCTATGAATTTGTCAACTTCTCTTCTAAAGCCATCCAAGTCAGCGGCTGACATTACCTCCTGTGGGAGCAAGTTCCATTCTATAACTATGAACTGAGTGAAGGCGGACTTTCTTTCATCTGTCCTGAATCTTGAACATTCATCTTCATCAGATGTCCACAAGCTCTAGTGTTATGAGAGAGGGAGGAAAACAAATTCTGTCCACTTTCTCCATTCCACTTTTAAAAAACAAACAAACAAAACTTCAGGTTGCAGAAGCAGAAGACTGACCATTAGGTCCAGTCGTGACCGACTCTGGGGTTGCGGCACTCATCTCGCTTTATTGGCCGAGGGAGCCAGCGTATAGCTTCCGGGTCATGTGGCCAGCATGACTAAGCCGCTTCTGGCGAACCAGAGCAGCACACAGAAACGCTGTTTACCTTCCCGCCGGAGCGGTACCTATTTATCTACTTGCACTTTGACGTGCTTTCGAGCTGCTAGGTTGGCAGGAGCAGGGACCGAGCAATGGGAGCTCATCCCATCACAGGGATTCGAACCGCCGACCTTCTGATCGGCAAGTCCTAGGCTCTGTGGTTTAACCCACAGCGCCATCCGTGTCCCTGCAGAACTCTTAGAAACATAGAATTATAGACTTGTAGAGATAGAAGTGACACCAAGGGCACTGGCAGAGGAAGAGGAGTGTGGGGGGATTGCACTGCCCCCGGCAGCGTGATCCTGGTGGGGTGCCATTGGGGCTGCATCCCTGTCCACGCTGGGTGCCACGCCCCCAGGACAGATGTCAGCCCCACCCCGCCTGCTCTCCGCCCCCCGGTGCTGGAGTGTGAAGCTCTGCCACTGACCAAGGGTCATCTTAGTCCAACCCTCTGCAATTCAGGAATCACAGCTAAAGCATCAATGAAAGATGGCCATCCAACCTCTGCTTAAAAACCTCCAACAAACCTCACGAGGGAGACAGTTCCACTGTCTAGCAGCTCTTACTGTCAGAAAGTTTCTTCCTGATGTTTAGTCAGAATCTCCTTAGAAATGCATGGGATAATAATTATCATATTTAAAGATACTGTGACAAATGACATAATAAACTACATATTTTAATATGAATTTTCCTGCTTAAAAAAGTTAATGTGGAATAGGATGAAATGGACTTTTAAGCAATCAAAATTGACTGATCTAGTCTGAGGTCCATCCATGAGGTTAAAGCACTGGTGTCCTATAGATATGCATGCATTTTAGGCAGCGTAGATGGATAGGAGTCTGTGTTCTCACATTAAACCTCCCCGGTGGAAGTGCATCTGCTGCCTGAAATAAGAGAATCGCTTTTCTGCACATTATAATCACCAAAGCCTTCCAAAGCCCAGACTAGCCACCTGGGCCAAAGACACAGGGATTTGGGGACTCAACTGCACAGCTGTGGAGCTGTACAAGGCATTATTTACAGTGAAGTCACAGGTGAAGGAAAGCCTCATCTACCCTTGTACTGCCTGTCATTTTGCCCCATGGGGTTGTAGTCACATGTTTGCAAATGTAAATAAATAATTTGTACCCTTGAGGGCAGGGGAATCAGGGGTTTTTTTTGGGGGGGGGAGTGGACAAGTGTGAGGGAATAAATGATGGGCAGGGAAGGAGTTAAGCATCAGCCTCAATTTTCCACTGCTGGAAATGCTTCTTCGCTGCAGCAGTACCTCCTACCTTTTTAAAAGAGAAAAGGCATCAGGGGTCTCTCGCATGTGGTTGTGTGCAATGAGTAGTAGTGAGCTGTTGAGTAGGATTTTAAACACCATCTCCTTGGTTTAAATTCAACATTCTCACTAGTTCACATTGCTGTCTAGACGCTGGCACTGATGTACAAAGCTTCATACAGCTTGGGACCAGGATGCCTAAAATATAGTCTCATCCCTGAATATTGCATTCTGTAGGAAACCTTGTCCTCCAGAGACCACCCACGCAGGAGGTGCATGCCATACAATATTGAAATTGGATCATTAGTGTGGTGACACCAACCCCTTGAAACTCTTTCCCATTATATTTCAGAGAGGAGCGGGTTTATTGCTTAAGAGCCCCCAAACCAGATGCATCTTGACTATCTCTTCACCATCATTAGGAGGATAGTGTCTTGATGAAAATAAGTGATAGTACCACTCTATTCTGTGTCCAGTCCTGGGTACCACCATTTAAGGAGGATGTTCACAAGCTGGGAGGGCAACCAAGGAGTATGTTCAGCCAGGATAAGGGAAGGCTGAGTGGTGATTTCAGAGTCGCCTTCAAATATCTAAAGGACTGTCACATGGAAGATGGAGTAATGTTTTCTGCAGGGAAGACCCAAGGCAATGAATTCAAATGACAAGTAAGGAGATTCTGACTCAACATTAGGAAGGGCTTTCTGAGGGCAATTGCTGTTTGAGAGTGGAATGTGCTACCTTGGAAGGTGCTGGACTGTCCTTCATTGGAGGTTTTCGAACAGAGTTTGAGTGGCCATCTGTCAGGGATTATTTAGCTGTGATTCATGCATTGCAGAGGGTTGGAGTAGATGACCTTTGGGATCCCT